CCCCAAAACCCCAAAACCCCAAAACCCCAAAACCCCACTTTTTATGGAGGAAATTGAATTTTCATAAAATTTTCAGATATTTGTGAAGGGGAAAATTCACCCAAAGTTAAAGAAACACAATGATAGAGTTGTTATTATTAAAATGAAGACTATTAAGAGGCTTCCTGGGTCCTTCTGACAGCATCAGCAATTCTTTCCTGGACTCTTTCCTTCCTTTGCTCGAGAGTGAGCTTTCTGTCAATTTTCCATTTCTTTCCTTGAGAGTTCTCATAAACACTCTTAATTTCATCAAGGCTCTTTCTTACAGGATTAGACTTCTTTGGAGCCTCTCTGTCTGGATTGGCTCTAATTTTTTCATGAACCTTCTTGTAAAGTTCTTCAAGAGAATCTAATTTATTTGCTTCAAGACATTTATCCCATTGAGAGAACTGGAGCTTATATTTCTTCTTATCTTCTTCTTCAAGTTTGTCCATGTACTCTTCAATGTTAAGTCCGAAGATTTTGGCTCTATGTTCATCAGCTTCAAAGGTTTCTGTTCTCTTTTCACCTTTCTCTTCTGGCAATCTAATTTTGAATCCTGGGAATCTCTTATTGTTGTGTTTAATGTAAATTCCTCCATCAGAAGCTCCCTTCATAGCTCCAAAGACTTTGTTTCCAGTAGTAGTTGAGGTGATACCGACATCCAAAACAGCTTTGAATGGTCTTCTCTTCTCATCTACTTTATCTTGCTCATAGACATCCCAGACGTTACCATCAACTTCTTCCACACCTTTATATAGGTCATCAAGCTTTAAGGTCTTGAGAAGTCTTCTAGCACATAAGAGTCCAGTACAGTAAGCAGCAGCATAGTTGGTCAATCCAGCAGTGAGGCCAAATCTAACTAATTCAGTTGACTTAGCTTCAGCCATGATTCTATCACCATTTGGAGTGGCATAAGCAACTTGGCAGATAAATCTTGAGTTAGTCTTTCTGACTACAAATCTGTACTTCTTGCTATCATACTTGTTCTTGTCTTGCATGATCATCTTTCTTCTAGCATAGTAGTCAGTTCTTGCTTCTCTTCTCCTTCTGAACTTAGTCTGATATCTACCGAAGTAAGATCTTCCTTTGATTGATTTGACAAATGGCATATTTCTTAAATAATATTTATAATCTTGAATTTTTAGGCCTTAAATCCTTCAAAGTGGTTCAACACAACATTTTTTTAAAGGGGTTTTGGGGTTTTGGGGTTTTGGGGTTTTGGGGTTTTGGGG